GGTCTCAGGCAGAGCAGGGCCTACAGGAGCGCCCCTGCCTCTGGCTCCTGGACCTCGGCCAGCGCTCGTCGGGGACACGAGTGAGTAGGGGGCCCCGCTGGCTCTCCGGGGACCCAGGAGCCTGTTGGGGACACAGCACGTGACGGGGACCTACTGACGGAAGGCGGCGGGGATACTCTGTGATGCTCTGTGTTGGGGCCCTTTCCTCCTCTGGCAAGTGGGGCTGACGGCGGGACTCAGTCCTTTGGGCTATTAGAAGTTTGTGGAAGGTGCTTGCGGCAGTGATTTGCGTGTGTGGCAAACGCCCTGTAGCCACAGGCTGGGGCAGCCGTGGGGCTGGGCAGCCAGGGAGTGAATCTCAGCGTGGTCTCTGTGGCCCCCCCAGTCTGGGCCTCATCTGGACTCTGGTTTCAGCACAGGAGTCTGGCTGTGGAAGGGGACAGGTGCCAGTATCCATGGGGGACATGCGATCAGAGCAGGTTGTCTGCCCAGGACACCACAGGACTCAGCTCTGGGGTCCCTTCTCGTCCCCGGTCCCTTTTGGGACCAGCACCCCTCCTCCCTCTACCATCCTCCTGTCTCCAGGTGCTGTGTGGGCCATGACCCCGTGTCCAGGCAGGTTCCCGTTCCGTCGGGCTGGACAGACCAGGGGTTGTCCGGTGCGGGGGCTCTTGCCTGACTGGTCCCCCGTTAATTTGGCACCACGCTGTGGAGGGGCTGCTGTGTGTGGCCGGCGCGGCCCTCAGGCTGTAGGGAGGGCCGATGGCTGCACATGGGTCCAGGACGGTGGGGGACAAGCTCCCAGAGCAAGTGGTCCCTGGGTGACAAGAGATGGCAGGCTGGTAGCCTGGGGACTCTCCGAAGTGCACGCCCCTTCGTCCCGACAGCCCTGACGGATCCGTCAGACTCCTGGTTTCCCAAGTCCCACCGAGGAGGCACTAGGATCTCATGTGACAAATGTTTATGTGGCGCTGACTGTGGAGGCTACTGTGACCAGGCCACTTTACAGACAGGAAAACTGAGGTCCAGGAGCATAAGGCGACTGGTGTCAGGTCACTGTGGGAGGAAGCAGAGCTGGGTTTGCACCCAGGGCTTCTCTGGAGGCTGTTCTGGCCCCGTTAGCAAAGGCAGGTCCTGCTCTCAGGGACGGGACTGGCATCAAGAGGGGGATGTGGGTGGGAGGAGGAGCCCTCGCAGGCTCCTCACACCCCAGAGGTGACCCCGGACTCCCCAGGTGCGGGGAGACAGCACAGTGCACGCCCAGGGGGGTGTCTGGCCCCTTGGCAGTGCGCTGGGGTCCCTGACGTCCTGTTCCCCTCCCCCAGGCGGGGTGTATGCTCTTCCCCCACATCTCCCCCTGCGAGGTGCGGGTGCTCATGCTCCTGTACTCGTCCAAGAAGAAGATCTTCATGGGCCTCATCCCCTACGACCAGAGCGGCTTTGTCAACGCCATCCGGCAGGTCATCACCACGCGCAAACAGGTGGGCTGGCGGCGCCCAGGCCAGGCCTCGGGTCCCCGGGCAGCGGGCGTGTCAGTGAGGCTTGGAAGAGCACAGGGCGTCGTGGAGGGCGGTTCGTGCCGGGAGGGACGCCCGTGTGGAGCGGGGCAGGGACGTGGCTAGGCGGGCTCGTGGGGAGCGCCGCGTGTGGCTGGAAGGCTCTGGAGGGTGATGGTGTGTCCTAGCTCACCTGACCTACGAGTTACTTGTGAATACTGTCTCCCTTCTCCCTAGTGTCCCTGTATGTGCAACAAACTACAGGGCTGTCCAGTTCTTAGAGGCAGAGCCTCTGGACTTGGTGCCCCAGGTTGAGCATCTGAGACTTGTTCCAGGGCATTTGGGAGCCATGGGAGGTCTATGAGCAAGTGAAGGGTAGGACCAGCATTGGGGAGTCCCCTGGGGCTGCGAGCAGACTGGAAGCTGAGGAGCCAGAAAGGAGGCTGGGGCGAGGGTCTTCAAGGCGGGGCTGAGGTTTCCCAGAAGCCTCCTCTGGGGCGCTCCCGGGCACTAGCCCCCCTTTCCTGCTCCTGCAGGCAGTGGGCCCTGGTGGTGTCGCAGGCCCAGTTCAGATCGTCAACAACAAGTTCCTGGCGTGGAGTGGCGTCATGGAGTGGCAAGAGGTGAGTCCTGGGGGGACGTGGGTGATCTTGAGACCAGCACATGCGCGCTGACTGGGGGCGCCGCCCCACTCCTGATGTCATCCCCTTCCTCTCCCCAAAAGCCCAGGCCCGAGCCCAATAGTCGGTCCAAGAGGTGGCTGCCCTCGCACGTCTATGTGAACCAAGGGGAGATTCTGTGAGTATGGGGCAGGGTGAGGGCAGAGGCAGGGTCCCGGTGAGACCCAGCTTCCTGACCCTTGTCCCCTTGTGCCCCACAGGAGGACTGAGCAGTGGCCAAGGAAGCTGTACATGCAGCTCATCCCGCAGCAGCTGCTGGTGAGTGTGACGGGCTCTAGGCCTGCCATGCCTGTGCCACGGCCAATGTAGACCTCGGGGCCATGGGCTGCCCACAGTGCTTCCTGGAGGAGGGGACCCTGGGGCTGCCGGATGGAGACCATTCTGGATCAAGAGATGGCATGTGCAAGGGCCCTGTGGCCGGTGGCTGGCCTCTGTGACAAGTGCAGGCAGGCAGGTGTGGAGAGCAGCTCCCCGGGGGGGGGGGGTTCCCCCGACAGGACCTGTCCGAGGTTGTAAGTAGGTGCCACCATGGTGTGGGGACTGTGCGGAGGCAGGGCTTGTGCGTCACGGAGCTGCCCCGGCTTCCACGCAGACCACCCTGGTGCCGCTGTTCCGGAACTCTCGCCTGGTGCAGTTCCACTTCACCAAGGACTTGGAAACGCTGAAGAGCCTCTGCCGGATCATGGACAACGGTTTTGTGAGTGGGGCGTGGGCCGCTGGGCGGGCTGGCTGTAAGAACCAGATGAGGGACAGCAACTGTTTCTCCACACCAGCTGGGGGAGCACCGTGGTGGCCCCGGTGACTGCAGGTTGGCCTTGTGCCTAGACGCCTGGTGGCTCCCAGTCCACGGACTCCGCTGGGGATCTGCTGTCCTGATCGCATTTTACAGTTGGGGAAACCGAGGCCCAGAGGCAGGCCCAGGGTTAACTCAAAGCCTGGAGGGGCTGATGCCACGGAGCGCAGAGCCGTTGCTCCCAGGTCCTGCTGCCTTCCTCCTGCTCTCCTTGGGGACGGGGCGCCACTATCCCTGAAGGTGTTCCGGCGAAAACCCGAGGCTCCCGCAGGCGCTTCCCGCCTGAGCTCTAAGCACTGAATCATGTTCCAGTGGGTCTTGCCTCAGTTTCTCCATCTGCGAGGTGAAGCGGGTTGTCCTCCGGGGCTCGTGGAGGCGCAGCTACCGCTGCACCGGGCCAGCGTCCGCCCTGCGGCCGATCCGATCACAGCCGTGCGTGTGTGTCCCTGAGGGGAGGGCTGTGTGTTTCTCTGGCATTAAAAGTTTGCCTTCCCGCAGGAGATCCTGCAGAGCACCCCCCCCCCCCCCCGGCTCCACTGTGGGCGCGCTCGGAAAGGGCTCCCGCCGAGGCGGCGCACGGGGGCCTGTGCGTCTCGTGCGGCCGCCGGGGTGGGGCGCTGCCCACTCCTCTGTGCAGCCGCCTGCATGTGGGAACCCCTGTGGCTCTGGGGGGGAGCGTCCGCGCCCCCGCCAGGCGCCGACCCCCCGCTCCGCGCCCGCCAGGCCGGCTGCGTGCACTTTTCCTACAAGGCGTCGTGCGAGGTGCGCGTGCTCATGCTCCTGTACTCGTCGGAGAAGAAGATCTTCATCGGCCTCATCCCCCACGACCAGAGCAACTTTGTCAACGGCATCCGGCGTGTCATTGCCAACCAGCAGCAGGTCCTGCAGCGGAACCTGGAGCAGGAACAGCAGCAGCGGGGGGTGAGGCAGCGGGCGGGGCTCCCCTCCCCCCTGCTCACGCCCCCCTCCCCCTGCTGACGCCTCCTCCCCGCCTTCCTCCCCCCACAGATGGGGGGGTAGTGGCCACTCCCAGGCTGGGCCCCTCCAGGAGTCACAGACGAGGCCCCTGCCAAAACTGGTGAGTGGCACCCGGCTCGGGTTGGGGGCGGGCCTCGGTTGTGTCTGGGGTTTCGGAAGGGAGACAGTGACCCTGGCCTTGAGATGAGGGCGGAGAGGCATGTCCGTTCCTGTTGGTCCCCGGAGGTGCGGGAGCTGCGGTGCTGGGCGCGCCCCGGGGGGGCAGTGGGAGGCCTGGTCCAGCCCCTCCCCCTCTCCTCCTGCCCGCAGGTCAGATGCTTCGGAGCAGGGGCCCCTGGGGATGGCAACTCGCCAGCGAGACGGAGGACCGCGGCCGGAGAGGTCTCCGAGGACGGTCCCCACCCCTGTACGTGTCCCCAATAAAGTCTTTTAAAAGCCTGTTGGCTACCAGGCTCCTGTCCAGATGCCGTGGGGCGGGGTGGGGAGAGACCGAGCCCAGCGCAGCCCCAGGTCTGAGTCCTTCAGCCGTGGGGACCGGGAACGTGCGTTTCTCACAGATTTCCGAGGGAGGCCACTTCTGAGCTCACGGTCACCTTTGTGGAGCTGCCTCCGTCTTCAGTGGCTGCTCGGTCCCCAGTGGGCCGTGGCTGGTGGCCTGTCCTCCCTGCGCGGCTCTCCTCTGTCCCTCTGGATTCAACAGGCGCACTCGGCCGGCAGCACACACTGCCTGGGCCCCCCCCCCAATCAAGTGTAGGCTGCAGTTTCTCACCAGACGCGGGATCCAGCTCTCATCCTCACGGTCCCATCACTCGTGCTCCTTGGTTGGCTTTGCGGCTGGGCAGCCACAGGCCGGGAAGAGGCCCCCCCCATTCCTTTGGGGTCCTGCCCTTGGGGGTTCCCCACAGCCATGGTTACCACCCTCTGCCGGCGAGTGCGCAGCCCACGGAGTCCCAGGCCTTGAGGCCCTGCCTGGGGCCTGGCCGGGGGCCTGTCCTCCCCTGGTAGACCACCCTTCCCAGCACAGTGCTGCCCAAACTTAAAGAAAACCAGAATTTATTGGGGGGGGCGGGGGGGTGGGGTCGCTCAGCCCTCCGAGAACTGGCAGTACAACCGCTCGAGCGGAGGCTCCAGATTCAGCCGGAACGGGATTTCCAGGATCGCCGAGAATCCTTCCGCCAGAGTCGGGGCCTCGAACTGCTTCCTGGCACCAGGGTGATGGGGGGGGAGGCGGCGGAAGGTGAAACCCGGCCCGGGGCTGCCCGGTGTCCTCCCCCCCCCCCCCCCCCCCCCCCGCTGACCTGTAGCCGTACATGACCACGTCGGACACCGGGGCGTGAGAGGAGCCTGTCATCTCCCGGAACTGCGGGGGGGCGGGGGTCAGGAGGGCGAGCCGGGAATTGGGGGGACGGAGGGGAGCGTGGCGGCAGGGGTACGGGCCAGCTCACCCGGTTGTTGTGGCGTGCCTGCTCCAGGGTGGCCGTGAAGAGGAAGCAGCGGCAGGGGACCCCCGCGTCCCGGGCACACTTAATGTACCTGTGGGGGCCAGGAGGGGGCCAGGCTGGGAAGGGGCCCTGAGCACCGCCCCCCCGGGGGGGCCACGCCCTGGGACCCCGGTACCTGGCCCGGCTCGGAGGGTCTGGGTTGGTGTTGTCGATCACAACCCGTTTCCTTTGCTTTAGAGCGGTCTCGCACGTGGTCACACAGCGCTGCCACGAGCCCAGCGTGTCCTAGGGGACATGGGGGAGACCCTGAGGGGGGGGCAGGCAAGGAAGGACCTGCCCCCAGCCTGGGGGGGGGCGTGGCGGCTCACCCTGTTCACGTGGACGTAGCCCGCCGACACGAGGTGCTCCTGGAGGAAGGTGGACTTGCCAGCTGTGGGGGGGTGGGGGCAGGATCAGGGGCAGCCCGAGGACCCAGAGCCGGGCGGGGGCTTCTAGAGGCCCGGGGTCAGGGTGTCTCACCCCCAGGAAATCCCACGGCGACCACCACTTCAGGGTCGGAGCTCAAGAGGGAGCTGGACTCAGGGAGGTAGAGCGGCCCCGAGGGAGAGACAGTTCTCTGGGAGGGGCGGGCACAACGAGTGTGACCCCCTCCTCATCCCCCCGCGCCCCCCATTCCCGCCCCGAGGGCCTCACCGGGTCAAAGGTGGGGAGCACGAAGCTGGCGACGGGCCACTTCAGAAAGAACTCCTCTGGTGTGGCGAAGGGCAGGCCGAGGTTGAGCGCAAACTGGGTGGGGGTTGGAGGGACACATGTCAGACAAGGTGGGGACATGGCTCCCGACGAGGAGGGGACAGGGGCCTCACCAGACGGTCTGCACAAGAGAAGTCTTTCTTCTTCCGCCCAGGGGCCCAGTTGGCTGGGCGTCCAGCTGCGTCTGGAACACAGAAGACACACCCCCCTTTTCCACCAGTGACCTTGGGAACAGAAGCCGCTGGCCCTGGGAGACCCACATACTCTCCCCACCCCTGGGTCCTTACCTCCCACGAAGACACTGTCCCCGATGGAGATGGGCACACCCTCGTTGGCCTGGGGAGGGACAGGTGACAAGACCGCAGGCAATGAGGAACCCACTCCCGCATCCGTTTCCCCAGAACACTAACGGGTGCCCCGGGCTGCTCGGCTCCATCTGTGCCCTGCGCTAGGCCTGACCTCTGGCCTTTCGTGCCCCAGCCCATCAGCACGTCCTGCCGGCTCCGCCGTCGGGCCCCTTCTCGCCCCTCTTCACTGCCACCACCTGGATCCTGGACTGTTCGATCCTGGCTGCTGGCTGGGCTCCTGGCTTCTGCCCTCACCCATCTGTTCCCCAAGCGGCCACCAGAGGGTGCCAGTTCCTACTTTCGGAGATTCCTCTCCTCCCAACGCGCCTGAGCACCTTCTTTGCTCCCTCCCCTCGCTGGGTAAAAGGGAAACCCTTCCCTGGCCCACTAGGCCTCACTGTCTGACACCTGCCAGCTCTCTGACCTCACGCCCCACCCTCATCCCAAGCTCCACTCTGGTCCAGCCACCAAGCCTCTTCATGGTCCCGGAACACACTAGTCACAGCCCTGCCTCAGGACCTTTTACACTTCTGCTACTCCCACCTAAACCACTCTTCCCAGCTACCCACATGGCTCCCTCCCTCACCAGCTTCAGATCTCCCAGGGCCACTGGGAAAGGCCTTACCTGACCACTGTAGGTAAACCCTGCCTTCCCTTGCTTCATCCCTCCCACTATTTTACACCCCGGTCTGTGCGTCTATTGCCTGCGCCCTCACAGGAATGTGAGCGCCCCAGCAGGTCTGTCTTTTCACTAACCTTCAGTTCAAGAAGCTGTCGAGCTTCAGAACAAATGCACACACAAAAAACGCACGAACGACTGATTTGTCACTCAACCACTCTGACCCCCAGGGTTGAAGAGCGCTGCCCTCGCGAACCAACAGAACGGGACAGGTGCAAACAGGAGGCAAGGACCAGGGGAGGAGATGGGAGGGAGAGAAAGGAGGCCAAATACCAGAGACCTGCAGGGGGGAAGCTGGGCCGCGTGAGGGAAGAGGGGAGCCCTGGGGAGACCGCCACTCACCTGCTCCCGCAGATGGTCCCACATGCCGATCACCGGCTTCCGGTACAAGCCGGCGTGCGTGGCCACCAGCACCTATGGGCAGAAGTTAGACACCATCCTGGGCTCCTTCCTGGAATCCTTCAAGGGCACGTGGGTCCCAGGGATGCTACCCCAACCCTCACCAACCCAAAGAGAGCTCCCGGGGTCCCCGCTCCTGCCCCTCCCCGACTCTTCTGCCTTCTCCCTGGGTCTCTGTTCCCTCCTCTCTGTCCCTCACTCTATCTCCATCTCTGTCTCTGTCTGGGTCCCTGTCCCCCCACCTCCACAGCCCTCAGACTCCCTTGTAGCCACACCTGAAAGGGGAGCCCCAGCTTCACCACCACAGCCTCCACCTTGGCCTTGAACTCCTCTGCCGGCAGCTTCCCGCGCCCAATGGCCATCTGGTTGGTGAAGATCACCAGCTGGGGAGCACATGGATGTCACCTGGTGCCTTCCTCCCCAGGGCCCCAGCCTGCCCTGCAGCCTGGTGACCATGCACAGAAGCACACACACCTTGTAGCCCTCAGCATCCAGTTCCCGGAGCTTACGCAGAATCTCAAGGTACAAGATCCTAGGGCAGGTGGGAAAGTGGCAAGGTGACCTGAGGCCCCAGAGGGGCCCCCCACTCACCCCCTTCTTCTGCCTCTTCTCACCTCCAGTCGCTGGGGCCAGTGGGAAAGACCTTCCCAGAGCGTGTGGTGATGAGGGTCCCATCCAGATCAAAGCCGGCCACCTGACGTCAGCAAGAAAAGAGGAACAGCAACCCCATTACGCCTCCAATCCCTGGACTCACAGGCTGCATCACCCCTGCAAGGTAGAGACGTTACCACTCGCCTGTCACCCAAGGGGAAACTGAGTCACAGAGAGCCCACACATCTTATGTAAGGGCAAGGCATGGCAAGGATGGGTCCCCACTGGGGCGCCTGGGTGGCTCAGTCGTTAAGCGTCTGCCTTCGGCTCAGGTCATGATCCCGGGGTCCTGGGATCGAGCCCCGCATCGGGCTCCCTGCTTGGCGGGAAGCTTGCTTCTCTCTCTCCCACTCCCCCTGCTTATATTCCCTCTCTCGCTGTGTCTCTCTCCGTCAAATAAATGAATAAAGTCTTAAAAAAAAAAAAAAAAAGATGGGTCCCCGCCACCTGAGTGCAAAGCCTGAAAGCTTCACTGTACCGTCTCCTATTCCTCCTAAGCCCCTGGGTCTGGCAGTTTTAAAATGAGGTTCATATCCTACTCACACACCTCCCCTGGCCTTCACCTCAGAAGGCTAACCGTGAAAATAAACACAGGAGTGAAGTTGTTTGGGTGCTAACCGCATGTTGGGGAGTGTGCCACATGCTTTTCACGGGTTCATCATTTTACTGGTGAGACCAGTGGGGCTTGGAGCCGGTGGAGTGATGGCATGGGAGCTCGGGTCTCCGGAGCCCTACTCCAATGGTGGTGGTCACTGCTGTGGTTTCGGTGGGTCAGGCAGGGGCTGACATACATCGATTCCCCCAAGGCTTACAACACTCCCTGAATTTGTCATCAGGTCCACTTCTCAAAAACGTGGAGGCTAAGAGAGATTGAAGGACCTGCGTGGGGGGTCCCCAGTCTGTGTGGCTCCCTCGGCTTGGCCCTCACCTTGCTGCGGGGCTTCACCCCAGGAGCAGTAAACACTAGCAGCTTCTCGAACTTCTCCCAGCCGGGGGATGACTTCCGCATCCGCTTTTTCTGCGGCTCAACATCCTCTGCCACGTCTGGAGCCACCGGAGGGGTGCCGGGCGGAGTGTCTTGCTGGGATTCAGGCGTGCAGACCTCTTCCCAGCGCAGCGTTAGTGGGTGGAGGCCGTTGACCAAATACAGTGTGTCCCCCACCCTCAGAGAACCTTCTGACCCAGGAGTCAGCTCCTGGGTCCCAGCAGTTGAGGGGTTAATTCCCAGCTGCAAAGGGAGAGGGAGGAGTTGTGACTGGCTGCGTCCCCCACCCATAACCTCCTCTAATTAAAGACCTTCTGGAAGGACTTCCCTTCCCCACCTGCCAATCAGACCTGTAAGCCCCGCCTCTTCGCTGTGTACCACCAATCAGGGATGTGGAAAAGTTACAGGTGTCCAGTCTCATCCAATTTTAAATGTGGATGGATACCCGTCGAAGCGGCAGTCCGGCGGCGCTTCTCTACTGGCCACACCCTCTTCCCTCCAAACCAGGTTTTTCCAATGGGCCTGGCTGGTCCCCGCTGGGTTGCCATTCCTCCCCAACGCCACCCCCAGGCCTTGCTGAGGAACTGGTACCTGTTTCACTGCCACGGTCTTGGTCCCGGGATCTGCGACCAGCTCCACTGAAGGTTGAGAGGGTGGAGTCAGAATGTGCATCCTTGTGCGACTGCCTTCCCCCATACTGGGGTGCATGGCCAGCTTCAGGCCACATGATGGGGACAATACAACCCATTCGGGAGGGGAAAGCAGTTTATTCCTAAATGGGACCGGATGTCTCCTTTACAGGCAGTAGTCACATAAGAGGCCTCGGGGTCGCCTGGGACGCAGGCCCTCGCCTAGGGGCAGGGCGGGCATTTTTCCGTATAGAACTGGCTTCTCCTTGATGACGCGTGTGGCTAGGGGCAGGTCCTCGGCTTCGCCCGTTACCACCCAGCCCTGCTTAGCAGCAGGTATTTTTCACCATAGGATCGGCTCTCGCCTTGGCAAGGGTCGTTACCTGACTCAAACCTCCACGGTGGCCTGACAACTCGTCTCGCGATTGGCTCCCTCCCCTCCCCACTGAGGGATCTTGGCTAGTTCCAGATGGGGCACACCATTTCTCTTCCTATGCTCCCCAGCGGGCACCTACCAACTTCAGGACTAGCTACACCACGCAATCCCGCCCGGTGGCCAAGCAGCTCCCTTACTGGACTGGCTGTCCACCTTTCCCCAAGACCGAGTTCCCGCTCCCGCAGCGGGCCACACCCCCTACTGCTCCGGCCCCGCCCACCTTGGTTTCTGGAGCACTTCCGGTCCGTAACCTGGGTCAAGGGTCCCCGGCCCAGGACAAGGACTTGCCCGTCCGAGGGCAGGAAGATGGGGGGCGCGCCCCCAGGGGGACTCTCCAGCCACAGGCGGCCCTGGGCCTCCACCTCGGCCATCCCTGGCACCAGCCTAAGGGGAAGTAGGTAAACACGTTTGGGTGCCAGGTCGTCCTCAAATTGCCACAGGAAGTCCCTCCTCTTCCCCCAGGAATTTCCCTTCTTCCGCTGAAGGCTCCGGAAATCCCACCCTCTCGCCGGCCACCGGCTCGCGCCGTTTCCCAGGCGACGACGCCCCGCTCAGTCCCGCCGCGAGCCCGGACCCCAACGTTCCAGGGCAAAGGCCAAGAACCTCACGCGCACCCCCGACTCGGCCCCACGCTCACCGTGCCCGACCGTGGCTCACTTGCCACTTGCGACCAGGGAACTCCCGCCGAGGCTCTCTGCCCGCAACTCCGCCGGCTGCTATCTCTGTTCCTCGGCGGACGGAAATGACTCGCCCTACGCAAGGGGGCAGGGCCTTGGCTCCTCCCACGACAGAAGCCCCGCCCCCTCTCAGACCTGGGCTCCTTCGGTCCCTCCGCTGCTCTGACCTTCATCTCTCCTGCCGCAATGGGAGCCTCCGACCAGTAGCGGGGCGGGGGGGGGGGTCCTCTGTTGACAGATTTTCCTCGTTCCGCCAACAACTCTAAACAAATTCATTCCCTTAGTTACAGAGGGAGAAACTTCTTTTCCATTTGATGATCGTCAGTCCAAGAAATCTCCACCCCCGACAGCAACCCTGACCCTCAATACTGCAATTTTCACTTTTAAAGAGGGTATAATCGTTTCCACTTCATGGGGTTCCTAGGATGATTAAAGGAGTTAGTAGATGTAAATAATTTTATAAAAGTATTTGGCTGGGGAGGGGGCGCCTGGGTGGCTCAGTCGTTAAGCGTCTGCCTTTGGCTCAGGATCCAGCCCTGCATCGAGCTCCCCGCTCCCTGGGAAGCCTGCTTCTCCCACTCCCCCCTGCTTGTGTTCCCTCTCTCGCTGTGTCTCTCTGTCAAATAAAATCTTAAAAAATAAAAAAGTATTTGGCTGGTAGCTCTCCCTGTAAGTCTTGTCTATTGCTAGCATTCTTCCGGTGGTGGTCTGATTGGAGAGAAAGATTCCAGGTTTACTTGACCCAACCCAGACTTCGCACCAGGTGCCATTTGTTCTCCAACCCTCAGCTGTCTTATATTAAGCAGAAAACTCCCGGCTTCAGCTGGACGTTCCTGGCTTTGCCGGGGACTATGTGGGCTCAGAGCACTGATTCCTTAAAGACCATTCACATTCCACCTCATCCCCCAGAAGACGGGATCAATGGTCACACAGGACTGGAATACACCCCTTCGTACCCCATGAATCTCTTATCTATAAAATGGGGACAAAAATTCCAACTCCCAGCTTTGCACTGAAAAATCAATGAGATGCTGCTCATTCAGCTTCAGAAGTGTTGAATGAACACACTTTATATTCATTTGTCAGAGATAAAACTCTTTAATCTCAGACCACCCCTCCCAACTCCCGATCCCCACCCACGACTCTCTCCCCCACACAAGGGCCGGAGAGCGAGGGCCCCTGCCCCCCACCTTGGGTGGACGAGGGCCCTTTAAGGCACCTGTGGGGGTGAGGGGAGAGGGGCGGGAGCTGGTGCCGTCCTGGCTGCAAGGACGGACTACGATTGGCAGGCTGTTGTGGGATGGAACCAATGAGAGGGTGTCAAGACGCAGGGACAGGATTGGGCCGTCCCTGGGAGGGGGCAGAGGGGCACGTAGTAAGGACTTGGTCAAAAACGATTCCAGTCCCTGTAGTGTAAAGAACGTAAATTTAAGGCCGCAGGCCAATCCTGGGCACAGGAGGAAGGTTTGGCCACGCCCTCAGGAGGCTGGAGCCAATCAGCCGGGACAACCCAGGAAGGATGGGATGGCGACTCCCGGGCTATTGGTCAAGCCCTTTGGGTTCAAGCCAATCAAATGAAAGGAGTTGCCCATTCTCTAGGCCGAACTGGCTTGCCACCACCCAATCCTGTGTCCTGGCTGTTCTCTTTCAACCAATGCCGCGCGAGGAAAGCCCTTGTCGCTAGGCGAAAAAACGAGAGTTGACCCCCCGTGAGGGCTTTAAACTAGCCACGCCCCGACTTGGGAGCGAGCCAATCTCTTAATCGAAAGAACCTGTCTCCGGGCAAAGAAAGCGGCGACAGACCCAATCGGGAAACGAGATAGGTCCCGCTCCTCAGCGCGTGAGGGGGTCGTGGGCTGGAAGGACGGCGGGGATTGGCAGGGAAGGGGCAATCCTGGGACCCCGGGGACCTGAGAGGCCGGTCCCGGGTCTGACTCGGATTGGCCCGCCCCGGGGGGCGGGGCAGGGGTGTAGTGTGGGGCGGGGCGGACGCTGGGCCAGGAAGCGCTATCCCTAGGCCTCAGTATTTCCGCTTCAGCTTCTGGAAGTCGCTGGTGTTGAGCCGTGGCCGCGGCAGGTCCCCGAAGACCTGGGTGTCCTCGGCCTCCCGCAGCACCAGCGCGCGCATGCTCGCCGCGATGCGGTCCAGGTCCGGCGAAGAGGGCTGCGGGACCGGGGCGGGGTCAGCACCCGATGCGGCCCCGCCTCCTCCCCCTCCCCACCCCCTCCCCAGCACTCTTTGCCTACAGCCAGGAAGGCCCCTCCCCCTGATTTGCTCCGTGTAGGATCCTTCTACCCAACTCAAACACCACCTCCTCCATGAAGCCTTCCTGCCCCTCTCCTCCCCTTCTTGGCCTGACTCTATGTACAAGAACAGCTATCTGTCCCACTGCCCTTCCAGTTCCTTCTTACACAGCGGAAGTGCTGCTTCTCTGCTGACCATCAAGGCTGTGTGCACCCAGAGGGTGTCATGTCTAAGGATTTGGGCTGGGCTTGGCACTGAGTCATGTAACAATCAGGCCTCTGCCACCGACTAGCTGTCAACAAGCATTTCATCTCCCGAGGCTTCGGTCTCCCCTTTCAAACGCGGGGCTGATGACAGAGTCCAAACAGTCAGCACAGTGATTGCTCAAGGACTGGGAACTACCATGTTGCCGGCGCTGCAGGGAAAGGATCCCTTTTCACGTTGGCCTCCAGTCCCAGCAACTAGTGCGATCTCCCTTATGGCCTGACACCTTGAGCTGGGCCTGGCTGCCAGCAGAATGGGAGAGGCTCCGCCCTTTCAGAGACCAGCCCAGCACCCCCACCACTCGGGCCTCAAACGTTGTGAACTGGGTTTCCCCCAGGAGCAACGCAAACGGCAGCCACGGATGCTGCCAACATGTAAATGAGGCCACTGAGAGGCACCATAGGGAAGGGGACCGCGGGACCCCAGGGCCTCTTCCCTTGCAATCTGTAACTCCTTTCCAAAAGGAGGCTGGGTTCCAATCCCTGCTCTGCCCCTTCCCAGCTGAGGTCTCAGGGAAGCTCAGTGCTGGGCGATGAAGAGCCACCCAGGGCAGCCCAGGAAGGCCACACATAGGACTGTGTGGGAGAAACGGAGGAGGTGGGGGAGGGGCAAATTCCAGGAGGAGCCCGGAACATGCAGGGTGGGGACAGAAGGTGATCTAACCCCTCTGAGCCTCAGTTTCCCCTTCTGGAGGGGATACTAAAATACCTGTGCCTTGCTTGGAGCAGGTATTCTATAAATGAAGCTGTTCCTAAAAACCCAGAAGACACTTTCTCTGTAAGGCACTGGGGTACATTATAAGGCTGCAGGAGTTAAACCTTTAGGGCTCTGGCCCAAAAACCTGCCTCATGAGTTGGAGAGCAAGATCAATCCTAGGAAATGTGGCTTCCATGCCTGAGGGCTTCCTGGAGGAAGTGGCTCTGAGTCCCTCCCTCCACCCTCCTCTCCTGCTCCGCTTTGCTCCTCACCGGCCCATTCTCCTCATCCGATGACCGTGCTTCTGATCTCTTCTCCTTGAAGGCCCAGACGGGCACGGACACGGGCAGGGACTTGGCATACTGCTGTGTGGGCAGGGCTGAGGCTGGGGGCACTGAGTAGGCTGGGGGGCCAGCAGGGGTCTCCTCGCTCAGGCTGCCATCTGGGAGAGAGTGTGGACTTCAGCCTCTGTCCTTGCCTTTATCCCAGCATCCCCCAGGGGTGGGGACAGCCCGGGACACTTACCGTCTGTGCTCTCAGGGTCCGACTCACAGAACGGGGGCAGGTCCTGGAGTGTGGCATCCTCGTCCATCACAAAGAGCCCTGTGGATGGTGTTAGTGGCCTGGGCCAGTTGGGTCCCTGCTGCTCTTCATGTGCTCTGGATTCCAGCCACCCCCACCGCCTCCCCACTCCCTGCATCGGCCAGGCCCTTGCAAGCCAGAGGCTTCTGGAATTATTCCCTCTGCCTCAAACACCCTTCCCCTAGTTATCTGCCTGGTTATCGGCACAAACAAATCCAGTTTTTGTCTGTTATACCCCCAGGTGAAAGCAACTGGCTGGATGAACATGAAATCTGCAAGATCTGTTTGGGATGAAAGACTCAAAATACAGACTGAGCGAATATGAGGAGATTATGATCCGTTTGACAAATGGGGACCAGGAGGCACAGAGAAGTTAAATCACTTGCCCAAAGTTTCCCAGTTAATAACCATGTCACCAGGATTTGAACCCGGGCCACCTGGCTCCAGCGTCTGTGCCCTGAACGCTATGCGGGTTTTCTCCAGTGAAGAGGCAAGCATTAGTAGCAACAACAAATGAGTAAGTCGTACTTATTGAGCCTGCCCTGCAAACTCCTAATCACTCTTCAAAGCCCTAATGTTATAGTCCAGTCTCTTTGAAGCATCCAACCTCTGGATTCCCCTCCAAAACAGCCAGCTGCTTTCCCCCCTGGCTTCCTTAGGCTGTTGCCTGCATCCCTGATTCCTCTGTAACGCCTATCTTTGTTCTCACAAGCATGAGGCGCCCCAGATTTGGAAACAACTCCCATTCTGCTCAAGCTCCCAGCTCAGGTCTCAACCCCATGGTCTCCACAGGGCACTGCCTCCTGTCAAGACTACCAATTTCTTGGGCAGACTGGGAGTCTCTCAGGGAAAGGTCCTGAGGGGGGCACTTGGGTGGTTCAGTAGGTGAAGCGTCTGCCTTCGACTCAGGTTGTTATCCTGGGATGTTGGGATCGAGCCCCACTTTGGGCTCCCTGCTCAGAAGGGAGCCTGCTTCTCCCTCTCCTGCTCCCTCTGCCTGTCACTCCCCCTGCTTGTGCTCTCTTTCTCTAGCTATCTCTCTCTGCGTGTCAAATAAATAAATAAGACCTTAAAAAAAAAAAGGGGGGGGGCCTGAGGGGCATCTGGGTGGCTCAGTTGGTTAAGCGTCTGTCTTCGACTCAGTTCATGATCCCAGGATCCTGGGATCGAGCCCCGCATCAGGCTCCCTTTACAACAGCGGGCAGCCTGCTTCTCCCTCTCCTGCTCCCCCTACTTGTGCTCTGTCAAATAAGTAAATAAATTCTT